GTTCCCCATGCACATGCAATAAGTATTCGCCAAAAGCACATCCCTCATGCACGTCCACGTACCTTATCTCCACAGAAGCCCATCCCTCATGCACGCCCACGTACCTCATCTTCCATGCACATGCACAAATGCACATATTCAGCAATCCCATCAACAGAGGTGTATTTTCTTCTCATGAAAAATACAATCATTTGGTTCAATTTCATTCAATTGATTCGATTCCCATTCACACAATTCAATTCCACAAAGCGGCAAGGGCTCGATCCTTGGACATACAAAACGATTAACACCATCCCTTACCTTCGTGTGTGTATGTTTTCGACACAACAAGGAGGCTTAAAACCACAACCATTCGATTTGAATCAATCCGAAAGAGCAGCATCTTCTCACCACGCTGCTTCGTCGTCAACCCTCAAAACTCCTGCCACGGTATGAGGTCGAGCCTACCGAACTTCTCCTACGGTAGAAGATCGAGAAAGTGGCCTGGCACAAATCTCTGACATGACGGTAATGGCGATACTTAGGCAATGCCTTCACGATGCTTACGCCACTCTACCTATTTCTTCGTATCCTCTCTCTAATTTCATGCATTGGTGCCATTCTAAGAAACTCCCCAAACATTTCTACATCCATTCTCTCTCTCATGCATCCAATTCAACACACAAAACAAATCCAATTGTCTCAAACAGATTACCGCTATACCTCCCTCTCCCAGCCCCAAAAAAATACGTCAGCAGGAGGGCGACCTGCCCTGACTGCTTCCTATGTACACAGTGTCACTCTCACCTAAGCAAGCACCAGATCAGTCATACTTCATATTGCGGCAGATGACCGTACAATGCCAGACCTTACTCCTTTTCTCCTTAGAAGACGAGGAGGAAGTGCCAGCGCACTCCCTCAATTGACCCTGGAGGGATTTTATTTTAGCTTTTTTTCCTGGAGGGATGTCACAAATGCCTACAAGTGCCTACTCCCTCAATTGACCCTGGAGGGATTTGATTTTGACTTTTTCTCCTGGAGGGATGTCACAAATGCCTACAAGTGCCTACAAGCACCTTTTATCACTGGCTTCCAGCCGTTACTTCCAGCCGTGATTTCTCGTCAAGTTGACGTCAACTATCCATGTCCTTATTCGTCTCCCATCCGCATCTCTTCCTTCTCTCTGTCCCCCTTATACCTGCAGTCAGTTCTAGCCACGTATCCTCTCACGAACATTCCTACGAGCTTTCCTTGTCTCCTCCTCCTCCTCCCAAGCGCAAGCTTCCGATCTTCTCCTTCACCGTTTCGACGGCTGACTTGGCTTTCTCTTTCATCTCCGCAACAATGCCCACGCTCTTCTCCTTCGCCGCCGCCGCGCTTTCCGCCGCTCCGCCTTCCGCCTCTTCGAGTTTCTTTGCCGCTTCGTCTTTCTTGCCCTTGGCTGTTTCCACGCCGGCTTTCATCGTCTCGTCCACTTTCTCCTTCAGTTCCGTCGCTTTCTGCCCCGTCGCCTCTTTCATTTCCTTAACTTTTTCCGTCGCACGCCGCGCCCCCTCCTCGCCCGCGGCTTTCACCTCTTCCGCTCGCTGCTTCGTTGCCTCCGCCACCTCCCCCGCGCGGTGCTTGCCTGAGCTCAGCGTCTCTTCCGCAGCTCTCCGCAGCTGCTCCGCGCGTTCCTCCGCCACCTTCCGAATCTCCTCAGATTTCCCCTTCGCGTTCTCCAACGTCTCTCGGCTCAACTCAATCAAATTCGCATACCGCTCTCTCACCGCCTCCGTCACCTCCTCCATTCTCTCCCGGGCTTGCTCCACAGTCTGCTGCCCGGATTCCTTCATCTGCGACGCTGTCCCTCCCGCTGCCTCCTTGACTTTCTCTGCTGCTTCGGCCATCTGGTCCTTTCCATGCTTAGCGCTGTCCACTGCCTGGTCCGACAGCTCTTTGATCTTCTCCTTCGTAGATTGTGTGACCTCCTTCGCTCTCTCCAGCACTGACGATGCCGTATCCTGCTCCTTGGGCAACTCCGCCTCGTGCGCAACAACGTCCATCATCTCCTGTGATCTCTCCTCCTGCTGTGACGCCATCTCTCTCTCTCTCTCTCTCTCTCTCTCTCACACACACACACACACACACACACACACACACACAGAGTATTGCCTAAATACGGATCTCCGGCTGGTAATAGGCGTCAAACGAGCACCACAATACCGATTGCAGCCCGCGTTCGACCCCACAGCTCGATGAGATCCTCACGTCGCGTTCACGTTTAGCCTTGCTTCACAAATACGCCCATCACTCTCCCGACCTTCTCCTCTTCCTCTCCTCTCTCTCCTCCTGTATGTCCTCTCTGAGGCTCTCTCCCTCGTGCACACGGTATGGCGAAATTGGCGAATAATTGCATGAGTAAAGAACCGTCAGTCGAGAGCCTCACCGGCGGAGTCACCGCCACTCGGACTTCCTGGCCGCTTCTCGAATTCCCTGAGAGTCTATTACCTACCGTTCCCAACGTTGAATCGCGTATTTTATAGGGTCACTGCTTGCTCCAAGGCCAAGATCCCGGTTGTGTCCTGGTGAGAATGACCATCTTTGCCAAGCCCATGTGGCTGAATGGTACACACATGTAACTTTGATCAAGAGATCAGGAGCTCGAGCGAACCCACATGAATAAGATTTGTCGGGTTTTCCCCCCCTTCGAAAAAGAAGGAAGCCTTCCCCCGCCCCCAAGAAAAGAAAAAAGAAGAAAGTCCGATCTCTTCCCCTTGATTGATTCTCTCACACACGTGCAGACCACGTAACGTCCATCGCATGAACGTTCCAGACGCCGGGGTGGGGTCTCTGACTGACTGATCATCAGAGGCTCAACTACTGACCCGCTACCCGTAGCACCTGGATGACACCCATAATAGCACCTGGATGACACCCATAATGACGCAAGTGACTCAAAGTGAGGCTTAGTGCGCGTCAGCCATCAAACTGGAAAATGATCAGCCGTCAACCTGCACCATCACTGACCTTGACAGCTGACTCAGCCTGACGGACGATCAATTGTCTCAGTCAGACTGCTCTTTATACATCCCAGGTGCTACAGGTAGTGGGTCGGACACCCTGCAGGCAAGTGTGACTGCGCTGTCTGGCGCTGTCAGTGCGACTGCCGCTGCCGCAGCCTGCAAGATCGTCTCAGAGATAAACTGGTCCCGAAATCTACCGTTCAACTGTCTGAAACATCTTTAGACGTCAGGCAGGCGATCTTACGGCGGACAGTGTGTGTAGGCTGCATAACCCATCCACACGTGCATGAAATATCAGCGCACATGCCTACCTGCAGTTAGGCAAGGTTGGGCAACTGCAGTAGGGGAGCATGAGCATGAATACCAGCGGTTCTGAGGGTAGTTTCTTTTTTCTTTTTTTCTTTTTCACACAAAACTCAACCCCTTTAGAGGGAAGACTAGGGGGCAGTCTCGTTCCGAGGGGAGCGGCCGGTACCAGCCGACGAGCGCATCGGCCCCGCAGGGGGACCCTCCCAGTCGCGTCACGCAGGATTTTGCAGGACTTTCTCCCAAGGGAGCTCTCGCCGCTCCGGTCGAGTGCGCCAACCACACCTCTCGCGAACCCCTATGACAGGATAGGAGTCATGTGATGCACAACGTACGCCTGTCCAAGGGGCTGTCATAGGGGTTCGCAAGAGGTGCGGCTGGTGCACTCGGCCGGAGCAGCGAAATCTTCCTTGTGAGAAAGTCCTGCAAAATCTTGCGTGACACGGCCGGGAGGGTCCCCCTGCGGGACCGATGCGCTCGACAGCACTCCGGTACTGGGCGACTAGCGTAGGGCTCCGGTACCACCGTCGTTGTGGCTTCATGTGCAGCGCTGCCCATCCAAAAACTCCACCGCCACAATGGAGCTCCGGAAGTCGTCATGCTCGTTCTCACATGGAGGACGGAGGTTTGCCTCGCAGCATGTGCGTCATCGGGTAGTCCTGTAGGTAGGTTAAAGCAGACATCGTGTGCGCATGTCAAGTCACACAAACTTAGAAATGTTTTCTGGAGAGTTTCGCCTCATGCATCAAGGAGTCTAATGATTGCTTCCAAGGTTTCATGGTTACTCATAGGATCTTCTTTTGGCAAATCCTAATAGTCGGACTTTACTATCCCGTCGACTCGGCATCGAGTAGTAAAAAGGAGATAGAGATTTGCTCATTGTATTTCATAACTTCGCCATATCGAATGTGCAGCACAACTCATTGAAAAGATCGCACTCTGAACCGACTCCCAAGGTAGAAGTAAGTTAAGCTTTCATCTCTGTTGTGCATGCTGCTGTTGGTTGCTTGCATTTGCTGATCACAATGCTGACCTGTCCCCTGATTGCTCAATTTGGTACGCGGTTAGTCTTTTTTTTTTCCGTTAATTATATTATGGAGAGGCTTGAAGTCATTTTCGCAAAAGATTGAAAGGTTCCTGTGCACTCTCGCCATAGTCATGTTTGGGGAGGTTTGAAGTGTCCACATCATTGATGATGTTGCTTTGACTGTCGTCTTTCTTATTATTTTGCAGATCTTTTATGACAATCTCTGCTCCTACGTCTGCTTCTACTTCGCGGTTTTCATGGAATCACGCCTGGCTGCTCGGGGGGCTCAAACTCCGGTGTCTTCTCAGGTGCGATTGGGGGAGCCCTCCTGGTCCGCTGGCGGCGGGCAATAACTTCAGGGTCCCTCTGTCCGGCAGCCCTCTCTCCTTCTCAATGCCAATATGGCTGCGCCTAAGCGAGCCCCTGCAGCGTCCCCTAGGCAGGTGCAGCAAGGCTCTTTGCAGAGGAGGGAAAAGGGAAGTGGCAGAATGCGGCCTGCCAGGCCTGCAGTGGCGAGCCCTGGGTCAGACCACCAGTCCCCAGGGCGGCCAAGCAAGAGAGCTAAGGGAGGAAAAGGGGGTGTTGGGGGTAAAGGGAAGTCTGCTGCCGTTCCTTTTACTGCGGCCCTTGATCTCGTGCCTCCTGCATCTGATCGGACTCCATTGCAGAGATCGGACTCCATTGCAGAAAATGGAAAGTGCGTTGGTCCATCTACATCCGAAGAAATTAGGCGACGAGTCGATCAGCCTTCCCATGTCTTGTATGACGAGGCCACCGGTTGACACTCCAGATGGCAGACGCTCCAGGGAGATAAGAGAGCCCGGAGAGTACCAAGTCAGGGTCCTCATGACCTCTATGGAGAGGGCGCCTTGTGGGGACCATCTCCCGTTCGTTGGTATGATTGACCCTTCTCAGTGCACATCTGTAGATCAGGTTGACAAGAAGAAACTCAGAGAAGGGGGTTATACTGTGTGGATCCTTAGTGGTGGTCATTCTCGAGAAGCCCGCAGTAGGCTGATGCTCAAACACGCCACCGTGGATTTCTACAAGAGATACACATGCTACGTGTATTGCGGCCTCACTGTGAAAGAGGCGATTCTCGTCGGGCACGAGCACAACCGTGCTGCAGGGTTTCACAAGCAGCTCACATTTGTTCAAAGAATGCGCTGTTGGAGGCAGACTTTTGAGAAGTTGGGCTGTGACAAGACTCTGGATGTCAAGAAGGCTTGCTTGAAGGCTTTTGGTCTGAAGGCAACCTGTTGGGACCAGGTATCGAACTGGGATCCTCAACTTCAAATCTGCATGCGGGGCGCTGAGGTCTGGGCTTTGATGTCTGATATTTTTTACCTTTGGGAGGAGGCAAAGATAAAGGATGTGAAGATGAAGAGGGGGGTAGGAGGGAAAAAGGTAAAGTCCATTCATGCAGCAGACTTGTCGGTAGGCCACGAAAAAAAGGGTGGAAGGCCGAAGAGGAAACAGATTGATATGTGTGAGCAGAGGTTGTCGTTGATGACTCTCAATCCGGGGATGTACGTAACAGAGAAGAACGAAGTCGTCAACGAGCCAGCGGATATGCCATATAAGCCCTGGCTTATGATGGCTGCACTTGACGACGCCGTCGTCATCCCTGTCCTCACTGAGGTTAAGAGTGGGATTCTGTCCCTTGATGAGATGGCGGAGAAGTTCAAGATCCTCAAAACTCGTCAAGGGACAACAACCGCTTTTATGAAGGAGGTGGGGGTAGAAAGCTGGGAGAAAGCCAAAGAGGAGTTCCCAGTTCACACACAAGAGGCGATGCTATCCCAGTACTATGGCCTGTTTGACAAGAATATCAAAGGGACCCCGCATCCTATGCAGCTGTATGCGGCCAAGGCCCTTAACTACAGGGATAAGATTTCCCAGCACGAGCAGCACGCAGCTGGAACACAAGATCCTGAGGGGTTGCTTGCTGACTGGGTTTCGTTTGAGGGGGAAGGCTACAAGGGGAGTGTTAAGGTGATGCACTGTGACATGCTTCAGCTGAGTGACAAATTGGAGGATAGGTTGCCGTTCACTCTATGCATCTTCGACTTCCCTTGTAGATATGATGCCGATGGCTCTGCTCACGATGCGGAGCGCTTCACGAAGCCTCTGATTGAGGCGTCCGTGGAGAACTTGAAGAAGATCACTTGTTCTCCTTTCTGGGTGCTTGCAGGCTTCTGCTCTACTGACATGCTCAGCGATGTCACATCTGTGTTTTCTGCTGCGTGCAATGCTGGGGTGGAGGTGGGTGTTTGGGTTGCTTTGCTTCTCCTGGTGGGCTCAAGTTCACTAACTGTTGGCAGCACTGTGTTCTTGGCTTTCACAATGACAGCGGAACTAGGGAACCCCTGCAGTTTCAATTCAATAATGCTGACTCAAGGTTGAATTGCTGGAGTCACAATGCAGTGACCAAGAAGTATGTCTTTGCTGCAGACAACGAGATCCTTTGTCCGTACCAGAAACCTGTCACACTGTATGAGTGGCTCATCACCAAGTTCTCTGACCTGAATGATTCGTATATTGTAGATGCATTGTCTGGGTCAGGGACTGGGGTTGTTGCAGGGCTTCTCTGCAAAAGGAATGTCTTGGCTATGGAGGTTGATCTGCGTTGTGTGAGGGGGATCAGGGCCAGGCTAGCAGGGAGGGACTTCCAGGAGAGTGCAAAGCAGGAAAAGGAGAGCACCGGCCGGACAGTCGCAGAAGGCTGGAGACATGCTTAGTCTGTTTTCACAGTCTAGTTTTCATTTTTATGCTTGTCCTCAGATGTTCCATTGCATTTCATGCTCACTTATTTGTATGGGGGCCTGATTCGAGAGAGCGTCTTTATCGACTTTCGATTTTCATTGCAGAGTTGCTGTGACGTTTGTTTCGAGAAGGACTCTAGATGCATTTCCTTTGTGAATTTTTTTTTTTTTTTTTTTTTTCTTATTGCTCATATGTGCCCCCCCCCAATGCATGCATGCGGCGGGGGGGCCGCCATACACGGGGGGCCCGTACATAGGGGGCCACGATACATGAGGGGGGCCGTGCATGTGTGCACCTTACATGAGGGCCTCGCATATACGGGTTCCCCCATACATGGGGGGCATTGGGGCCCCCCATGCATGCAGCCCCCCCCCAAAAAAATGCATGTGTAGAGGCCATGCAAACATGCGGGACCCCTATGCGCGGGGGCGCATATATGCCTCACATAGGGGGCCGGCACATATCGAGATATAGGAATTGGGGGAATGGTTAACCGGGTTCCCCTGTGCATAGGGGCCCATACATGTCAGGGCCCCTCATATGGGCATCCCCCCTGCATGCACGGGCCCCCCTCTAGACATACATGCGGGCCCCCCCCCATATATATGGGGGGCCCTCTATGCATGCGCCCCTCCCTATGCATGCAGGGACCCCTGCACACGGGGCCCTTTTCCTGTTTCCTTGTCTTCGCATCTCGATTGGGGTTAAGGCTTCTTACAACGAAAACAGTGGCTGTTCTCAAAATTTCTATAAAAACCGTTTTTTTTTTTTTTTTTTTTCAACAAGCTTTTTCGTTTTGCTAAAAATAGGTTTTCCTCAAAGCTGTGATTCACCAAGCTTTTTCGTTTTGCTAAAAATAGGTTTTCCTCAAAGTTGTGATTCAACAAGCTTTTTCGTTTTGCTAAAAATAGGTTTTCCTCAAAGTTGTGATTCACCAAGCTTTTTCGTTTTGCTAAAAATAGGTTTTCCTCAAAGTTGTGATTCAACAAGCTTTTTCGTTTTGCTAAAAATAGGTTTTCCTCAAAGTTGTAATGACATACGAGCCTCGAGTCACATTGCGTTTGGCGGAAAATAGTTTTCTATAGAAAACATTGTGGACTTTGCAAACTGGACTTTTTTCTTGGTCCGCTTTTCACGAATAGCTTGTTTAATTTGATATCTTTGTTGCTCCTAATGGTTTGTGTAAAATATCAAATCGGTTGATTGTTGGACTAAATGCGGTTTTGACAATATTAATTTGTTAAATCAATATGCCTAACTCTATCAAGCGTCAAAACTGTTAAATCCTTGTGTCCAAAATGCTCATCATGTCTCCCAAGCTATGTCCGATATGTCCAGAATGCTTATCGTTTCCCTCAACCTAAATCTGGTATGTCCAAAATGCTCATCACTTCTCCCAACCTATATCGGCTGTCCAAATCGGTTCTAACTATGTACTAAATAGGAGAATCGAACTGACCAATTTGGTAACTTTGGTTTTATGGTTGTCCAATTAAATTTTTGTTTGTCCAAAGACTCCAAATCGCTTCACCTTGATCTTAACTTACCTAGTCAAGGGAGTAAGTAACTGCATAGAAGGTGGATTCAAGTCGAGGTGAGATGAAAAAGTACTACACGGGTTCAAAACTAGGAGAGAGGGAATGCTGCAGATCCAGTACCGTAGTGACTTACAGAGTTACGGTGCGGAAAGGATTTACGGAGGTTCCTCATATGTTACCCTAGCTTGAGATTTTAGGCGCGCATGTACTAAGTTTGTGCCCCCTTAAAATTTAGCAGCAACAGAAGCAAAATTATAGTTAGCATCAGCAGTTGTTGTCATTAGTTTAATATCTGATCCGTCGCCCATCGGGGCACAAAACTTCCCCCGCCTTCAACCCACCGCCTTCAATCCACCTAATCGATCGGTTCTGAAATTGACCGATTACGTAATCGGTCGTTTCTGAAACAGACCTATTATGTAATCGGTCAGTTTGAAAAACGACCGATTACGTAATCGGTCAGTATCGGTCAGTTTCAGAAACTGACCGATTACGTAATTGGTCCTTCCTTTCCCCTCCTTCCCGGGCCTTCCCCTGGCTTCTGCGCC